AAAACATTCATTGGGCATGCTATTCTTAACTTTGGATACTTCCTTTTATGTAAAGCAATTCATTCCTCAACTTCTCAATCCAGCAAGAGACATCTATATTTTGGACAGAACACTACTTGATCATGTCTTTTCTCAAAAAATTAACTTTTACCTCTTTAGAACTTACTCCATACACTAGAACATAAATAACATAATATCATAAGCTGCATATACTAAATGATACTTTGAAGATTAGGTGGGTTGGTGTTAGAACATAAATAACATAAAAGTAAGCTAAAGTTCTTGACAAATTATGGGTTGGTGTTAGATACCAACTGGGGCCACTATAAAAGTTGTTAGACAAATTTACTCCTTACTAGGGGTTGGAAGGACTTAATTTGGCTCTAAATGAATTGAATTTGATAATCTATATAGATAGTTGTGATCATTAAAGTGATATGTTGTGAAGAACTTAAAAAAAAAATGACATGAGTTCTTGGAATGCCCATATATGTATAAACAGTACAAAAATCCAAAGCTAATAATAAGTTATTCTACCTTAATTTGCATTGCAATATATGAACATAGCTAGTTACCATTCCTCTTTTTCTAGAAGAAAATCACTTTTCCCAAAAATCATTATGATAATAAAATTTACTACCTGAAGGGTATGTTCAGCCCATATCACCATTTAAAACAATGAACAAAAATAGACTTTTGTTTCTCAACTATTAATCACTTAAATAAGGAGACAGACATTGTTTATATGTTCATAAATATTCTACCAAAATACCTTCCTTAAATCAAATTTGAATCTAACAAATCTCAATGCATTTTAATTAATATTAATTGAAAAGTATCGCTTTTATCAATGCATTATGTTACTCTAAAAGTATAGTTTCATATATTTTTCCCTGCCAAATTCCCAACAAATAATAATATTGACAAACACAATACTCAAACATCATTTTCCAATACAAGGAATAGTAATTTAATCATATAAAAATATTGCATCACATACCTGTAAAGCTATAATTGACGTACTAGCCTAAGCCAATATTCCTGAATTAAATTTCTTGTTCGATTGGTGAGATTGAGAGCAAGGGAGAGAGAAAGAGTAAGAAAAATCAAAATAAAAAAGGAATAGACAAAGAGATTAAGAGGTATATGGAGAGAGAAACTAAGAGAGAACGAGAGAGATTGATGGAGAGAGACTCAGAGAGAATGGTAGAGATTGAGGGAGAAAAAGGGATTAATCAAGAGAGAGAATAAGGAATAAGGAAAGATTGATTGAGAGAGATTGAGGGAGAATGGGAGATTGACGGATAAACAAAACGAGAGAGATTGATGGACAGAGGGACTACAAGACACCAGGAGAGTGAATGGTTGAGATGAGAGAGAACAAAAATATAAAAACTAAACACCCTTTGTTTACTTTCAAACCATATAATTGAGCAGAGAGAGGCATTTGTGAGAGTGGGAGGGAGATCAAGAGAGGAGGGAGTGTGAGAGAAACCAAAAATCCTTTTTGTTTCTTTTCAAATCACCCAACGTTAAGGGAAATTTGGGTATAGGCATTTTGCTGTGTCCAACATGGATTAAGAGTCCCATGTTGGGAATAGCCATATAAGCCTCCAATGACATGGCAGTCGTTTTTATAATTTGAAATGTAGAACAGATTGTCAAAGTTTTGTAGATTTTTGAACCAACTTGCGGCCTAATTTTAAATGTAGAGCCAATTCTATCTATGATTTCCGTAAAAAAGGGTAAACAACTTAAACATACCCTAAGTTTTCATAAAATGACTTAAACATACCTTGAGTTTTTCAAATAAACTTAAATATACCTTGTGGGTTAACCCCACTGAACTTAAGCATACCTTCTATTATTAAAATGTTAATAATTCTTAACATTGAAAGTGGCCTATTTAATTTTTGAAAAACCATGTTTTACCATTTATGCCCTATTTAAAAAAGATCCCCTACTCTCTTAAAGTTTCTTCCAAACCAATAACAGTAGGTAGTGTTGATGGAGAAGAGGAAGGAAAAGATATCGGACTGAAAGAAGTAAGGCCTAGAAGCAGGTTGTATCTCAAGTCCCATCAAAGATGAAAAAACAATGTAAGACCCTCATGAAACAGATTACTTGTTTCAGTCTTTAGAAAGCAAGTCTGTTTCAATTGTTAGATGCCTGGGTGAAGGTAATGAAACAAAAAAGAATCCATTAGCTTACACTACTTCTCAAACAAATAAGTATGTGTTGAACATCCCCTACTATTTGAGGTGATCTCCCCTATGTTGTGATATGAAAACCTTGGTATTTATTCAACAAGGTATCTAACACGAAGTTGGTCATAGCAATGTCATAATACAAATGATAACACACACCATTTGGCCTTTGGTCAAATGTTCGTATACATGGACATTGGGCAACATTATTTCAAGTCTCTACAAAGATCAATCTCTGGCAATGGTTTTCAACAATAGGAAGCCCTTGAAGCATTTAAGAACTATAGTAAAGAAGGTGAGATTCTTGCTAAATAACAATGAAAATTGATTTATTTTGGACTCTGAGGATGGTAGACTGGGTTTACACGTTGTAACCGATGGACATCAATTCTAAGGATGATAGCTCTACGAGGGGATTTGAAGGACTCCAAGGAGCAATAAGCTAAGCCTTTGAAGAAGACGTAGATGGTAGATTTTGCAATATGGTGTCTCAAACTATAAGATGAGGGGCAAAGTTGTCTTTTTTGTTCAACCCATTAAAGATAGGGAAAATTCCTAATTAGTGTTTTGTACTTTGTGCCTAGTGCCATTTTGGTCCCCAAGCTTTAAAATGCAATAATTCAGTATTCGAATTTTCAAAACGTGACAATCCAATACCTGTCATTAATCAACAGTTAACATGGCATTAAGTGATATTTGAAATTGACACAAATGCCCTTTAAGTGTCATTTAATTTTCTTTAACAACCATCTAAACGTTGACAAAAAATTAACAGTTCCAAATCCTTGCTTCTTCAATTCAAGAAAGTTGGGGTTACGTTTGAGTGAGCATTCTGGTGATCCCAACTTTCTTGAATAGAAGAGATAAGGATTTGAGACTATTAATTTTTTTTGTTAATATTTGGATAGTTGATAAAGAAAATTAGATGACACTCATAGGGCATTTGTGTCTTTTTAAAATGTCAATTAATGGTTGATTAACAACTAATTAACGACAGGTATTGGATTGTCACATTTTGAAAGTTCGGGTACTGAATTGTTGCATTTTAAAATTTGATGACCAAAGTGACACTAGATCCAAAGTACAAGGTATTAATAGAACATTTTCCCTTAAAAATAACAGTTTAAGTCTAATTGCAAAACTAAGGGTATATTTAAGTCATTTTTATGAAAAGTTGGGGTATGTTTAAGTCTTTTATCAAAAAAGGGTAAACTATAAAAATTTCTCTTGAAATTTCTGACAATCATAAAACCTCCCCTATAATTTCAGTTTAGCAAAAACCTCCCCGCTATTTTAAAAATTTGACGAAAATCTCCCTTCCATCAATAATCATGACGAAAAACATTAAACTGGTGATCAAATCTTTTCAAATACCTATTTTACCTTTTCATGCATTAATGATTTTCTTAATCCTACTGAGACTGACTATCATTTCTGTTTTTTTTCTTTGTTGATTTCTTCTTCCTCTTTATACATATTCAACAGTTGACTGAATTAAGAAAAGGAACTTTATACTCATACAGATCCACTGGATTGCATGCCAAATTGCCAAACCAACGTTTCCGATGAGAAATTCAGTCCCTCGATCTAAACTAGTCTTGATCAGCAGTGAAGTTCCTATGCTACAACTCGGCCTTCTTGAAACTCTCTCTCTCCACTGAGGAACCCAATGGCGATAGCTCGAAGAAAGACAGAATAGAGATCAGGAAACGAAGAGGGAAAAAATGAATACTAGAAGGCTTACTGTTCATTATCTTCAATGAATGAAGAAGACTTGAACAGAGGACGCTGCCCCGCCGCCGTATCATACCTGAATAGAGAACGCCCCCAGAGATGACATAGTTGTCGTCCCCTTCCACTTTGTTCTCTTTCTTCCTCCCCCCTTGTCTTCTATTTTCTTTTTATTTGACTCCTCCCCTGTCTTCTACTACTATTATCGATCTAACACCTCTGAGCAGGGGATTCAACTTCAGTGTCTGCTTCCTTTCCTTTCCTTATCTCTTCTGCTTCCTCATTCCCGCAAAGCAGACGACTAATCATAATTGTGAAACCGCCATCAACCCAGAACTTGGTTGTCATCCCCATCGTTGAGTTTTGGTATAGCGAAATGGCATGTTGTAAAATTACATGAACAGGGGAATTGATAGTTAGTCTCAATAGGACCAGGAAGTTGGAATGGAGGAATGGTTGTAGTGGTGGAGACCAAAGAAGAAGAAGAAGAAGGAGAGAGAAAGATGGAAGAAAGTCGCTAGGTTCACCTAATTGTTGTTAAATCTTGGGGGGTAATTTGAAATAGGCCTTAAATTTATTACAAGTTTTTAAAATAAAAGTGGTAAGATTAGATTTTAAAAATGGAATGATAGAATGAGAGCCTAAAAATGGAATCTCTCAGGGACCAAATTCTCGCCGGTAAATGATAGTTTCCGATGAAGAACAGTCACCGGAAAACGAAAGGAATATTCTGAGAAGTGGAATATTCCAAGCAATAGCTTCGTTAAAACAGTTGGGTTTGCGTTCTTCTACTCTGTCAAAAATAATAGAAAATGTAAGATGTTGTTTGAGTTACAGAATGATTGGATGACGTCTAGGGGTAATTTCGTAATTATACACGTTTTCGTCGTGATCATTGACGGAAGGGAAGGATTTGTCAAATATTTTAAAAATAGCGGAGAGATTTTCGCTAAAATAAAATTATAGGGAAGATTTTTATGATTGTCAGAAAGTTCAGGGGAGATTTTTTGTAATTTACCCAAAAAAATTGTATAGGCCCTATAGCAATCGTCCTCTCGAGTTCAAAAGCGAGCGAGCGAGCGAGCGAGGGAGAGAAAAAAACCTCCATGGAAGAGGTAAAAGCTGCATCAGCGACGACTCACATGCCGAAACCTCAATCTTCAAACACGGCACAGAACCAGAACCTCCCTCCCCAAGTGCCTCCTGCTCAGAACAAGAAGAGAAAGTTAGATCATGTCGATATTCGTAAAACTTCGTATTTCAAGATCCGGGCCATTGTCAAAGACCTTCGCCCCTCTTTCATTGAGGTAGTAACTTCTTCATGTTCTTGTTCTTTCTCTTGTTATTTATTGGGGATTCCTTCTGTGTAGTTTCTTTATGGTCTCAACATGCGAGGGGGTTTTATCGCATAGTTTCCTCATGGGTCCTTAGGAAGGATACATTTTGAATTTGTTCGATTTTAGTTATGCTTTTTTCTACGTCTGCATCACCTATATTTGTTCGGTACTTCCTCATCGGATAGCTTTCCTTTTAATTTTTTTTCTCTAAAAAGTTTGTGTTTTCGGGAGAACCGACAACTTTAAGTTCAAGGTATGCTTTGCTGATATGCGACAGAACACCATAGATTAATCTTTCTCACTGGAGAACTGGGTAAAAGTGATATTATTTGGTTTATTGGGCGGTCGATTGCTTTAAGTTCAATGCTTGCTTCAGTGGTATGTGATAGAGCATCAAGGATCAAACTTTTTTTTTCTCACTATCTAGTATCTACTGCAAAATAAGAGATACCGCATGAAATAATAGTATAACACATTAACACACGCAAAGTTCCTAATGGGAAAGAGAAGTGATACTCGGGACATGTTTCTGTAACATGCAGTATAGTTGATCCTTTTGCCAAAAGTTCTTAGGAAAGGGCAACTGACACTAACCGTCATAGTGGGTCTATTTCTTGGAAAACCAGGAGCATCTTTGTTAAGTTGAACATAAAAGCAATGCAGCACTAGAAGGAAATATAACCAATGTGGAAGCATACTAGACGTAGTTGAATTTGGGGTATTTGACGCTTGGGCCTTGGGTATCATCTTTGTTTGGTTCAAATGGGCATTTTAGCTCCAAATCAAAACAGAACTTTTGTTCCATTTTTTATTTTGCAAGTTGTTGGAACTTGGAAGTATTGCTCATAGGTCATAGTGAGATGCTATCTGAACATTGTTGAAATTATGCATAATCTAGCATTTGCTATGGTCCTTCTGATGTAGAGGGATTTAAATCAGATATAAAAAACGAGGGTATGTAATAAACAACATTACAAGGATACTCCTCGTTTTTTCTTGCTTTATTGTTGTTCTTGGTATTATTTATTCTAGTTGCTTTTGAAACTTGTCCATGTCTAGCACCATGTCATGCCATGGTTACACATCTGCAAATAAATAAATAAATAAATAAATCCAACACCCTAGCTTTCTGAATTCACTGCATTAGATAACTTGTATCCATGTTAGATAGAGATATTTGTGGCTGCTGTTGCATAGATGATGCAAAGGTGGAAAAAGAGAGACAATGGAAGAAAGAATGTAGTTTCTCCAAATTATTAGACCAATGACAATTTGTAATTATTGGGTTATTTAATTTGGGTCTACTTGAGTCTTTTAATAGTTAGATTTAAATTTATTCAAAATAGGTTCAATGATTTTTAGAAGTTGAAAAGTTGTGGTTGTAATCATGCCACTTTTGTTTCAGATTATTATTTTTAGAGGTTAAAACATGTTTATTTTGTATGATTTTGGTGTCATTAGATGTGCTATTAAGCTATCTATCAAACAAACCAACAGCTTGTAATTTTGACATATTTTGAGAAAGTTGTGGTCCTATTAAAAAGGTTCAAAATATCGATATGCCTCTGTGTATCGGCAGAGGCATATCAGTACTTAGATACACACGGAAACATATTTTTTTTTTTAGTTTTTTTTTCAAAATTTGTTTTTTTGGGGAGTTAAATATAGGTATTTTTTTTATTCAAAAAGAGGGGGGTTTTTTGGGGAGTTAAATATAGGTATTTTTTTTATTCAAAAAGAGGGGGGTCCCAAAACACCTGTAAACAGGCGTATCGGGACCCAAAAGATACAATATGATACACCATCTTTGAGGTTTATTTTGGAGTTGTCTTTGTTTTTTTGGTGGAATTAGTAATACGTTATTAGAGTTATTTTTGGAGATGAGGTCCATATATGAGTGGTTCCTAATTCCTATGGTTTATATATACGTATACCTCAGTTCTAACTTCTAATGCAATTTTTTATCTTGGTCAGTTTCCTAGTTGGGATTGGTCAGTAAAGGGAGACCCAAGCCCTTGCATTGAGTCTATAAATAGTCATTGTAACTGAAAATTTGAAGAATTGATTTATGAATAAAAGTTTGTTTTAGTGAATTCTCATTATGGCTTACACGCACACACAATTTTTCTCTTCATAATTCTAAAGTGTCTCATTGCTGGAATCTAATTTCTTGCTCATTTTTTGATGGATTGCAAGCTATCTACTTGCTTCTCTATAACTATTCTTTGTTATTACTCATCCAAGTTACCTTTTCTCATCCTAGCTCATCCTAGTAAGCCCATCATTAGATTTGAAAGTTGTAGAACCTCTTATCTGTTTGCCATTAATAGGGAATTACTACCCTGTAGCCATTCTAAGTGAAGACTGAAAATACCATTCTTAAATTCACTCATAACCCGTAGGATGTTAACTTTACAATTACACAGCAATATTATTAGCCATGGGCTATCTTTTTCCTTTTTTCATTTCCTTTGAGGATGTGGGGTGGAGTAGCTAAAGTTTTCTGAATTATGGAGTTATGAAGCACAATTCTGTAAACTGATTCATCTTATGGGCATAATTTGACTTTGTTGAGCAATTGGTGAATTTTTCACGTGTTGTTAGAGAATGTGATATAATATGTGCATGTAGAGACAATATATCCTAGTAGTTATAACTCTATTTTGTTAAGAGGCGATCTCTTGTGGTTTTGATGATTTGTGCTATAAAAGATGGTAGTTGCATGTTTAGTTGATTTATGTAGAATTGTTGAACATGGTCCAGATCTTATTTGTTTGTTTATTACTTGATGAGCATTGAACAATAATCATTAGGATTCAGCAAGTTGATATGCCATATTTAGGTCACTTGAGTATCTGATGTATCTGATGTATCTTGTAGCCTGTGAAGCCTTGGCTCTTGAGTTTGGGGGGCCTGCTCTAGTAAAGTTGTTGTATAATTAATCTGCAGTTTGAATAAAATTACTTTACCTTTTTCTTCAAAAATTAAAAAAAAAAGGATTTTGGAAGAATTGAGCCAGCATGTCTTTCTGTTTGGATATCAGCTGATTTAGGTGTAACATTGTTGGAAGGTAATCTATGCTCTTAATGTGGCATCATAGAAGTAGATGTCAAGATAAGATATTGAAGCATTTCCTTCCCTAGTTGTCTCCAAAGGTTAAAAGAATATGCAGATTGACACTTGTTTCACTGCACTGTTTTTGGTCTGTTGGTGTGTGGTAGTGGAGACCTGATCAATGCTTGAATTTTGGTGCTGAATGAGGAGGGCTAATGGATGCTAATTGGTTTTTGGGTGCACTGACCAAATTCTTGAATTGAAGTGACATATTGCCGTTTGCTTTCTTCTATGGTTGTCAATCATAATAGCCGACTTGCTCACTTTTTACATTAATCCCCTTTTTCTCATGGGTTTCATGCATTGTTTTGGATCTTTTTTCATTTACAGGAGAGTACTCTCTTTGCATTTGTTCATGCGAAATGACTAGTCATCTTTATATTCTATAATTAGTTCATACTTCAAGAAACTCAACTATATGGGCCTTTTTTTATCACATTAGTCATGTTATACACAACTATGCCTTGTAATATCTTCTTTCTCATGTTGATTTATTCACTTTTGCATCAGCTTGGAAGGTCTTAGCCTGTAAAGAACCTAAATGTTCTTTGTTCTCTTGAAGGTTCTTCGGACTCCTGACTTCAGAAATTGCAAGGCAGCTTATGAAATTCGAAAACGTAAGCTTTTCAGTATCAGTTCTAGGTTTTTACTCTTATTTGAATAAGTTATGTAATTGTGTTCTAAAACTTACATGATTTTCTTCAGTTCTCATATTCCACAACGGACTGTTATCTTTTATTTATTTATTTATTTGGTAGGGATTAATTGAATGAAGCCATTCTGTGCTATATTATTTTTGCCATTGATCCCAGTCTTAAATATTTAGGAATTGCACAAATTCAGGCATGAATTGACTGAGCTAAAGCCTGCAACCTGGAAGTCATTAGAGTTGTAATGGGTTTTCATCTCCTTTTTTTAACTGGTTATGTATTACTAAATGACTGAAATGCAGAGCAAAAGTGCACAGGCATCAACAGGGAAAATATTTAGGATTTGGGAGTAGGGGTTGCCATGAGCCAAGCTGTTCACGAGCTGTTCGAGCCTAATATATGGGCTCGTTTGCTAATCGAGCTGAGCTCGAACTTAATACAGCTCGGCTCGTGAGGCTTGCGAGCCTAGTTGAGTATATGTACATAGGGTATCACCTCGGCTCGGCTACTAAAGGAAACCACAGCTCGGCACCTCGGCTACTGAGGGAGACCTCAGTTCGGCGCCTTGGCAGCTAAGGGAGACCTCGGCTTGGCACCTTGGCAACTAAGGGAGACCTTGGCTCGGCACCTTGGTTGATAGGGAGACCTCGGCTCGACATCTCGGTTGATAGGGAGACCTCGGCTCGACATCTCGGTTGATAGGGAGACCTCGGCTCGACATCTCGGTTGATAGGGAGACCTCGGCTCGGCACCTCATTAGCTGAAGGAGACCTCGGCTTGGCACCTTGGCAACTGAGGGAGATGTTGGCTGCTAGGGAGACCTGCAATCAGAGGCAGCCGAGCTCGAACTTCCGAGCTTTTGACTCGAGCCGAGCTCGAGCTCAAGTCACTAGTTCGAACCAAGCTCAAGCCTGATAATTTATGACTGAGCCAAGCTCGAATAGCCAGATACACACTCCTGAATTATTCATGAACAATGTCCATTTTATACACTATAATAATCTCAGTAGAAAAAATATGGTTGTGAATTTAATTTTATATAGTATTGTAGCTAACCAAAAAATAACAAATGACATAATTTAAGAGAAGGATTTAATGGGTTGGTTTTGCTTTTTTTTTATGGTGAGAGAGAAGTATATAGGTATTCAATTTAGAATAAGAGATTGTTGGTTGTTTATAGAGAAATAGGGAGAGTAATGGTTTTGCTTTTTTTTATGGTGAGAGAGAAGTATACTTCTGTACCTCCTAAAATAAATAATTGGTCCAATATATGAACCCCATGCAATCTCATGAAATTAAGGGCCACTTGGAAGAGACTGGAGACGGGGAGAGTAATGGTTTTACTGTCAAAGTCTAAATCCGATTCAGTTCTCATATAAATTACAATCTTAAATTGCAGCTTTTTTTCTGATCCATTTTTGCAGAGTGTGAATCTGTGCATGCATAGAGAGGGCAAGAGTCGGAATCCTTGAGCATGGTTTGGAGCACTAAAGGTACTCCTGACTCCTGAATCTGCCTGACCAAGCACTACAAAATTTGGCTTAGCGCAAGTCTTTGTCTCTGCTCTCAAACCTTCTAGGCTACCTATAATTTCTAAAGTAAAGCTTAAGAATTTGCTATCAATGTGGTTTTGTCATAAATAATTCTAGTGCTTAGATGCTTTTCTTATTTATAATCATGACAACACTTCGTTACTTGCTTTATTTGGTTTTATTTTTTCTTCCTTTTTTTCTTTTTTGGGTGGGGGTTAGTTTCTCTAATTCAATTTATAATTAATTGAATCCTACTACTACTGCTACAGAGATGAAGCTCATGATGGATTTATATAAACAGTTAAAGATGGAAACATTCTTTATTGGGAAGTGTAAGAATCAACCAGGTCACCCTTTACTAGGTGAAAACAGGCAGGAACAAAAACCCATGGAGAGGCCCCAAGAAGAGAAGCAGGCAGAAGAACACTCTCTTCCAGAAAAATTACCTAAAGAGAAGCCACTTTCTGGAGGGAACAACTCTGAGAGCAGAGGGGACAGTCAGATCCAAGGGACATATATTGTTGGTGGATCAGTTTTTGGCTGGAATTTTATACTATATCCAAGCGGTAAACCAGTCTATTATGGGGCAACAAAGGAGTCGCGAAGAGCTGCAAAGTAGGTTCTTTATTTTTCTATATGCTATCCCAATTTGACTTAGCTAAGTGATTAGAGCAATGGAATTTTGAAAATGAATAATACTACCTTTATTTTTCCATGTTGATCCTTCAGATTAATCAATTTAATCTGAAGGATCTGCACATATTGCTGAAGGGGACACTCACAAATCAAATTTTGCGTTTTACTGTAAACTTTCATACCAAAATCAATAGATTTACTTCGCAATTCAGTAAAGATGCTGTCTGAATGAATTTTGTGTGGTTATTTTGAATTCTGTTTCACACATTCCACATAACGGTTGAACCTGAAACAGGGCCAAAAATCAAGCTGAACAATAGGGGTGCTCATCAAAAACCGAATTGAACCAATGAAACTGAACCAAAAAAAAGCCGGTTAACTGAGCCACTGAACTAGTTGATTCAGTTCAGTTTTGGTTTGAGATTTATGCCCACTGTTAATTGGAGAACTGCTTAGTGAACATGAATCTCTGTACTAGGGTAGGGTTTCATGAGGCTGGGCCAGGCCAAAACATCGAGTTTGTTGTTGTAAGTCGGAATCCTTGTGTAGGATAGGGCTATAATTGGATCGAATTCAGTAAAGCCCAAATTCGATCTAATTATTGAAAACTTGCATGGATTTGAAAACCTTGGATTCGGATTCGAACCGTAATGGGCTCGGGTCGAATTTGGATTTAATTTGACTCTGCTTTAATTTTTTAATTAAAAAATTAAAATTAATTATTTTTTAGTTTTTATACCTAATAAATTATCTAAATATAATATACTGAATTTATTTAATTTTAATTATGTCTGATCAAGGTGCAGATTTTCAAGTATTATTCTTTACAGGCCTAGTGAAAAAGCATCCAGCATCCAGCATCCATGTTCCAACTTATCTTAGGGCTTTCTTTCATAATTTTTTTATTCTTCTCTCACCACCAGTTGTTTTAATTCTGGAATGGCTGATTTTATTTAGGCTACGGCGTTGCAGGCCTTAACCATTAAGAACCACAATTCGATCCCTCTATGATATGGCTTCTGCTGGGCCACATGAAATTTGTCTCCTTAGCAATGGTCCTGTTCTTAGCTTTAGTGGAAGAGGAAAACCTCTGGTGCTTCTTTTAGAACATGGACGGTGGACCACTGGACCTGGATTCATCTGTTGTTTGTACTTTTCTTATTTTCTTGTGGTCGGTGGCCCACATTCATGTCCTTGCCAACTGACTGGAAAATGGAAAATGCTATTCCTTTTCAGTTTGGTGTTAGTATTACATGGTACCCATTATGCAAATGCTCATTCAAAGTGTTATATTCTGTTATATTTTTGTCTTTTTTTGTACTTTCCTTATTTTTCTTTAATTTTGTTTTATTTTCTTAATTTTCCTTTTTATTGTACTTTTTTGTATTTCTTATTTTCTTCTTTTTCTTCATTTTTTTGCTATATTTTATTAATTTTCTACAAATGGTCTCATAAAATGATACAAAAATACTTTGGGGTTTTAAATAACTTTCCCACATGGGGGAAAGTTGCTAATACTTGAATGAGACAGAAATGCCCCTTTTAATATTGAATTGTTACGGCTAAAATGGACATTTCCTTATTTACCTGGGAAATAAAGAACATGGGTAAATGCACTTACCTGGTTAAATCTTTCCTCAGAAACACTTACCCGGGTAAATGCATTTACCCGAATAAATAACTTACTGAAAAGCAAATGGGGCCTAAGAGTTAGGGTGGTCCTCTGTGATAAATGAAAGTTCAGGTCTTTTTTTTTTAATTTTTTGATAGAAATAGTTCAGGTCTACTCATTAGCAATGGAAAATCCCATTAGGAAAACCTTTGGGTCTTAATCGTCTTGATTCCCAGTCCATAAGCTCAGTTTGGAAAGAGTACAAATACAAATATGTACAGTGTAAATACATACAAAATATAAGATTTTGTACTCTACATATTTGTATTTGTACTCCTTCCAACAGTTGCAGTAGGAGAATTGCAACCCGATTACTTGAGGAGACCTTAACTTAACAGGACTCTATTTGAGTTGGGCAAATCTTGTCCATTGACATCCATCTTCAAGTTGATGCCTCATTGACCCTTATCCCGCTCCATCCATTTCGATTTGCCTGAGGTGCAACCTTAGTGCTACCAAGTCTATAAACCTATCATATTGAAGACAAATTTCAGTATCTTTAAACCATGGCCTACTTCTAATAAGGACCTAACACACAAGCATCAGCAGAGACCTTTCTTCCTTTTAAGTTGATAGGAGAAACATTTGATGGCTCTAGTAAAAGAGCATTGATAGTACTCGTAAGAAGTGATATATTATTCATGTAGCCGACTATAAGGCTTGGATGATGATGATTTCATGGCCTTGGTACCACTAAAATATATGGTAGAAAAGGCCAATTACTACCAAAGAAAAAAAATGAAAGGATTAATTACTTAAATATATCCCTTGGTGTTTAATATACCCTATGATTTCCAAAAAACAAGCAATGTAAATCCTCTAGAGTGGCCCCACTGGCACATATAGGCCCTCCATTTGTGGAATTGGGATATATTCCTCACCGAGCGCACCTCACACGGACCCCACAGCCCCATCCCATCGTGTCTTGGGAACATCTCCCCATGAATTACAACACAAATGACGGGAGATGTTCCCAATACACGATGAGATGGGGCTGTGAGGTCTGTGTGAGGCGTGCGCTCTATGAGGAGAAGATCTGGATTCCCATTTGTAAAATGCTTTGGGCCATGACTAATATCCAATTTTGTCCCTACACAAGTAGGCAATAGGAAGAAGGCATGACAGGGTTAAGGATCTCTTAGCTCTCTGGCTTCATCTTCATTGGCAAAACTTAACCATAGTTATTGATTAAAACTCCATCTCTTGAAAAAGAAATTAGAAGTTTAGAACCAGACGAGAAACTTGAAGGCGCCAACTGGCTGGTTGGTAAGGTCTCCTTCTAGTTGTAGCGGAGACCTGGGAAATGGGAACTCGCCTGCACCTAGGTTGGGGGATGGGCTACCCCCCGTTGTGTAGCCCTTGGAGCTCAAAAAAAAAAAACTTAACATTAGTTAGTAGTCAGTTGATTCACCAAGTCATTGTTGGCTTCCCATGGTGGAGAGTGAAATGAGGTGGGAAAAAATCGAAAAGCAATGATCTGGTCAGTTTACAATCAAATAGAGGAAGGTTTACCCCAGTTGCTTGGCCATGGGTTGCAATGGAAAAGAGAAGAAAGAAAGAGGAGAGAGAGAGTGAAAAGCGGAGGATTTGCAATGATCATTCTAGTTCATTGATCATAGATGTTAGGGGTGAGTAAATGGGTAGGTTATATCCGGAACCAAATGGAACTAACCTCAAATCGGCCTTGAACCGGCCCTACCCAACTTGTTACAGAGGAGAGTTTGGTTCCAAATTCTTGGAACCAATCCCTACCCAGTTTGGTTCTAGGGTCTAGGGGTTTAACCTAACCGAACTGACTTGATGAACCGGCTTTGGAACTGAATTTACTTTGAATAAAACCCCAAAATATTTTCAAGGATGTGAAGATTTTAACTCAAGTACTCATGGTTACAAAAGCCATGGTCTCACTTGACCATTGAGTTAGTTAAGTGATTTGATCATTTGTTTTCATTTTAATATTTTAATGTGTATAATAAATAATGCGAAAAGGTAATATTTACAAAATTTAAATTATATTGACAGATTTTGAACCATATATTAATATATTATGATAATTTACATATTAAATTATGCAATTTAATCAATAAAGATAATATATGTTTCAAACTATATATTGTCATTATTGATAAACAAGTTTTTAAAGGACATGTTTTGATTATTTTAAGGGGGAGAGTAAAGAAAGAACAGGTTTCATGGGTAGACCCTAGAACTGCCAAGACCAGGATAAACCTTAGAACTAACCTTCACTAGGTAGATTCCAGTTCCAAAAAACTAGAACTAACCCTTATAGGGTAGGTTTTAGGTTCTATCATGGAACCGAACTAAACCGGCCCATGCTTACCGCGAGTATAGGTTGGGAAGGGAATGAAACTAGGGAGAGAGAAGTGGGAAGGAGAAGAGGAAAGGAGAGAGAAGGAGGGAGTAAGGGGTGACCACTAGGCTAGTTCAATGTTCCCTTATTTGATGGCAACAAAGAAGAAAAAGAGGGGAAACTGATTTGTCATGTTGCTGCTATTGGAGGGTGCTACAATCGTACCTTGGTTGGTCGGGCTGCCATGTCTCAGGGTTGCCTGACCTCCTCAAGCACGTCAACGAATCAACACATCACGCACTGGAGTTAATGGACGTACCTATAGGTGCAAACCTTGGGGCAAGAGAGGGGCACACAATGTTTCTACCTCGCCGATAAGCATCCCCACTGAGGAACATAGGATCACTTGAAGACCTCAGCAGGCGGTCTCCTCCCTCGAGCACCACAAGGGATGTGACCGAGTGCACCACGACACTCAGCTATTTAAAGGCATCTCCCTTCAAGGTATAGCTCTCTTCAACCTTTCGACACTCTAGCCTTCTCTTTGCTCTCTTGTTTCCCCAACCCTGCTCAGCCCATACCAGATCGCCCTCTACAACTCGGCCCAGCCGACCGTTTCACCTCTTATTGACTTGAGTGTCAGAGAGCCTTCCCAGAGACCTCATCCTCAGGACCTCTAACTATGCTTTGGTTGTAGGTTCTGCTCGGTGCATCAATTCATCATTCCACCTCAGCTAATCCTAGTTGGAAAGACTTCATCTATTGCAAGTCCACTTTGGTTTGGACAGCATCAGAGGGTCTATGTAAAAGGTGGACTAAGTGTCGACATAATGTGAGTTCCATTTATCTTTTATATATCTCTTAGATTTTGTTTTGAAATACACTTTTCTCTCTTTTCTTTATATTTTTATTCTTGGTTCCATCTCTTTCTCTCTCTCTCTTTCTCTCTCTTACTTCCAAAGCTATAAACTCTTAGCTCCTCACTCTTCCATTCATGTTGATGTTGATGCTCAGAATGGACTGAGGACAACACTGTAAATTTGCTTCCTGGATGAGCTAGCTGGTGGAAGGATCTGAGGGCT